TGACTCCCGAACTTGTCGAGTCAGTACTGGACTCGCTGAGTTGGGCCAACTCGCCGAGTCCAGATAATGACTTGCCAAGTTGATTCAGGTAGAGGCAAGAAAAACGATTTTGAGCAGAAAAACGACAATCGCATCACATGCAACAGAAACCAATCAAGGCTCTGATACTATTGATGGGTTCTATGCATAAGAACAATCCTATGTGCTCATACAAACCCTAATGCTTGGATCTAGGTTTATCTATTGAACATGTAATGATTCCAAGACTTGCGAACCCTAATCTAGCATAATAATTCGAAATTAACACTATAAGAACAGATCTAAGTGATTACCTCTTTCAATTGGCTTGAAATCTTTGAATCTTCTTGTTCTTGAGCTTAAAGTCACAAGTGTAACTCCTTTAATGACTTACAAACACCACAGGCAAGAAGGCAACTTTGAGAGAGGAGGGAGGATGCTTAATTTCGGCCTAGGGTTTCTCTTGGGAAGCAAGTGGCCGAAAATTGAAGGCTAGGGGTCTTATTTATACTGTAGGCTGCTAGGGTTTCAGTTTAAACCCTAATGGACAACTTAGTCACCAAGCAGCCCAATGAACCTTTTGTAATAAGGCCTTGGACGAAAATATGATGATCCTTCATCATAATTTCGTTCCCCCTTAGTCTATTAGGTTTCCCAGCCCAAAACTCAACTATCACACATTTGACAGTTTATACCCCTTTATTTAATTAATCTCTTTTAGTCACCAAATTAATTCCTAATTAATTTATGACTAATACTAACTAAATAAATATGATTTCTCCTTTAATATATTATTCTTATAATATATTAATAAATCATATTATCCTTTCTCTCTCATCAAATTACCCTGTCAAGTTGCTTCGGTGAAGGCAACCCAAAAGGACCATGCACAACCGGGTCAATTACATACCAAATATAGTTACGGGCTTAGACACTAATCCAACAAAATACACCATAACAAACATCGTAATACTCATCATAACTCGAGGAATCACACATACTACAAGTTCCCTGAATTTTTCTTAGCCCTCCTTGATTCGAGTACGAGTCCTCTGCTTTTAGTATTACGTGCCCATACTACCTTCCACATTTATCCGTACTTTCCTCAAGAATTGCCTTGACTTCACCAAGTCCCTTCTACTACTACTGCTCTTAGCACTAATTTCATCCCAGGCTTGCCCTAGGGTAATTCTCCCACCCACTCTTCGCCATCATCCGCATAAGAAGTCCCTGATATCTCTCCTTAACTAGCTCGCGAATACCATTACAGGCGTGTTTGGAAAAAGTACCTAGTAGCTGGAAGCGGGTAGTGGTTAGCTGGTAGCGTGTAGCTGATAGCTGGTAGCGGGAAGCTGTAGCTTTTATTTGTTATATGAATGTTTGGTAAAAGTAGCTGGAAGCTTTTGAAATATATAAAATTACATTAAAGGACAACTGATTAAAAATAAATAAATATATAAATATATTTTTAAGGGTAATTATGGAAATTGATTTCAAAAGCTCTGGAGCGTTTTGTTAAACGCTACATGAAGTAGCTTTTAGAATCGGAGCGTTTTGTTAAAACTAAAAGCTAAACGCTCGTACTGCCAAACGGAGCTTTTTGTTTAAATTAGAGCGTTTTTATCAAAAGCTAAAAGCTAGAAGCTCCCAAACGCTTCCAAAAGCTCCGTGCCAAACACTCCCTACATATCACTAAGACTAAATAATTCTTCGAATGAGAGGTCCTACCCTATAACGGTTGGACTCAGAAAAGAGTTGCGGAATAGAGTTAGACCTAATGTTCTAAAATTATTTAGTCCTTTTAATATGTAACTTAACGTATTCGTTTACTAGTTAGTTAAAGATTACTAGAACTCCTAAAAGCACAAGGCAAGCAACATTCGAGCATTGAGTAAACCAACATTTGCAATCAGATGCATCATCTCAAGTAAATTGTCATTCGCAATCGGATGCGGCGAATAAAGATGGAGGGAAATCCATAACAAAATCATGGACGATCCTTTAATAAAAATCGGTTGCATAAACTGCAATATATACTATTATACATGGTAGCTTTGTTGTTGGTTTGTGAAGTAAGCCAAGGTAGATGTATCCACGTTGATCTGTGAACACAAAACCAAAAAGAAAGACTTAAAGAGGTTTTAAAGTAAACATGATGCAACAACCAACATGAAATCAACAAATTTGCAAAGGTTACAATATGGGTTTAATAATTTTGATGCTCTTGCTGACAATAATCCACTAAGTAAACATAAACTTTAGACCAACTTGGTCAAATATTTTTTTTCGCAAATCAATATCAAATTGTTACTTATAAAGTCAAATGTGTGTATGCAAATCAATACAAATTCACGACTTAAGCTTTCAACAATAAACATAACGATGTCATAAAAAACAATAATTTGGGTATTTTTCTCCAACTACGTTTCACTGTACATCTCATGTGAACTGATATACATCAAACTGAACCAAATAATCAGACATAAGTCAATTTGGAAATTGATCATACTAAACCTCAAACCCCAAAAATTGGTAAAAGGCAAATTAAGAAAAACCCAACAAGATTAAATTGAATAAATTGACCTGAAATTTCACTGTGTTCAACCAATAATAACATATAATAAACATATTAAGAATACCCACAAACCAAATAACCTAAATACGTAGTGAGTAGAGTAGTTCAATTAGTGGAAAATAACACAAAATTAACGAATTCAAGACACTGAGTACGTATGTGTATTGTATTACAATGCTAGAGTTCGATGGAGAAATTGAATTTAGGATACAAAATAAGCATATTTCAGTTTTGATTGTCTTCAATCTTCAAAACGTGTCTGGTCGTATTTGACTCTCTGGAAAGAAGGGTTCTAGAGAAATTTTGTCTAATTGATTTTTTTTGGCCTTGGACAGTCTTGGGGCCAAACAATAAGGAAGAAGGAAGTAGGAAGTAGGGAGAATGACATCGGCGAACAATCTGGGAGGGGTAAATGGAAAAGTCTGGAAAAATATTACATGCGAATTTGAGGAGGAAAAATCAGAGGAAAACCATTCATTTATTTTATAGGAAAAACGACAACGTTTTAAAGGTTCTGTACCTAAATTTGGCTACATAACAGCTATATATTCCCAAAGCCCATATATATATATATATATATATATATATATATATATATATATATATATATATATATATATATATATATATATATATAAAAAGCACAATGTTCTTGTGAACAATGCGTACAGTAATTTTTTTTACCGTTTGCTTGGTCAATTTTTTTTACCGGCTTTCCCTTCTCTCTTTCTCTAGAATCGATTTGGTTTCGCCCCTTCATCGTCTCATATTTTCAGTGATGGAGCTTTCCTGCCGCCTTCAGTTTGCTTTCAGATTCGAAGAAAGTTATTGTTCCTTCCGGTCAATAATGGGTGCAATCAAATTTTGAGGCTATATTCACCGATATCCCCTTTTTTGTTTGTTTAATTTTAGTTTCCAATTGATTTCTGATTCCTTGGTGCATCTTCCATTGTCGATTATATAAGATAACACATATCCAGATGCGTTTGATCAGCTCCGGCGAGCATCGGTGTTTCTGTGGCGGTGGTGTCACCCAGTTTCACCGCTATATGGAGAGGGTGCTTTGTCTGTGAAAGGCTTTGATTTTCTGATTTTTTGAAATCGATTATTTTAATCTTCAACTTTGGTTTGCTGATTTTGCCTCCTACTTCTGTATCAGGTTGAACTTGACTACAAGATGAGTTTTGTTTTCAGTAAAGGTTATCCTTCATATACTACTTTATTAAGCTTTGTGTTTTGATTTGGCTTATTCAGATTCTGTTTGGAGGTATTTCTCAATTCCCCCGATTATTTGTTCTTATTTCTTTCTAATACATATACTATGCATGCTAACTGTTTGTGGAAATGCCGAAGTCAAACTAATATGAGATTTTGCATTTTTTATGACTAAAGATTTGTTTGTGCCATGAATAAATTTGCTTGAATGGGGTTTTGTGAGAGAATCTCTGTTTTCCTAACGCAATTGATCAATGGGAATGTTTTCTTTTGTTGTTTAATTTCCTTTTGCTCGATTGGATTTTTTATCGTTCTTATTTGTATATTGGGGTAACTGTACACGAAGCTTCAATCTCGTAACAAAGGACACATGGCTTCTGGGCTTTAATCCTAAAAAGGCACACACGGTATTTACATTCCTTAATTGTTATTTTTAATTTGACATTATTATACATATATCAATGTGAATTTTCAAGATGTTGTACTAGATGCATGAATATTGACATTTATTCAATACTTTTGTACTTTAAGGATATATAAGATTTTCAGCTTCTTTATGATGTTATAGGAAATGGTGTGGAAGCTGGTGGTGATAGGCTTTGTAATTGAAAGTTAGCATCCACATGTGTGGAGCTTGAAGAGCAATTTGCTCCCACCAACCATTGGTTTATCCATGTTTAAGGAATGCATACACATTAATTTTATTTCAAACTTTCTAATTTTATAGATTTTTTTAATAAAATTTGTATATTCATAGACCATGCATAAAATGTTACAGCATGTTGGGGATCTGGTGCACCCTAGGGTGGCTTTATTTTGTATTCCTAAACTACAAAGTTGACGTACTCTCCCTACATATCTTTCTTGATTGACAAAGCATAAAAATGGTTGTTCATTTGTGAACTTGACCCAAAAGATGGGTTCTTCTTTTCTGAAAAATGATTGTTAGCTTATTATTTTGTTTCATTCAGATTTTAATTTATTTTCTAAATTTATGATAGATAAAAAAAATCATTTTTATTGGTATGAGTGATGTACCTTAACCACTTCATTGGTAGTGAGGGTTGGAAGCAAAGTAGGAGTGAGGTAAAGAGTTGAATGAGAATGTTGAAGTTAGGAATGAAACATGTTATTCTGACAATAGAGTCACCATTTTTTTTTTTAATTTTTTTAAATTTTTTTAATTTTTGTTGTTTTTAAACAAACATTCTAACATTCTTTTTTGTAAATCATATATACTAAGATCATGTTCTTATTCCAAAATAGATACTTAAATGGCATTTTACTTTCTTTGAATCTTTCATATATATATTTTTTTGTATTAAAATCACATTGTATACTTTTGCTATGTAATTCACATCCAACTCATGCAAAACATGAGCACCTACACTTGTTTATATTATATATCAAATACATATTTTTGTAAAAGTTTTATATAATCAGTTCGGTTAGTTTCTTTTGGTTTTACCAAATTCTAAAACCGAACCCAAACCGAAATTTTTCGGTTTTTGAAAAAAATCAAATCCAAACCGTCGGTTTATGTTTCAGTTTTAGTTTTAGTTTTATCGGCTTTTTGATTTTCGGATTTTTGTTTTACTCCCCTGTAAAAAAATATCAACTTAATTGGATAAATATTAACCGAGTTACAAAGGCTCAAAGGCTAGTCGGGGCTCTTCAAAATCTCAGTGCTAGTACCGGTGCATCCTATTTGGTTCAGTATACAATACCTACATCTCAGCGATTTTGCTTCTCCGTATTTTCGGTTTGATTACGAACCCCTAAATGAACCTGTGTGGTTTGTCTACAGGTTGATAGTGCAAGGACCACTTCTGCAACTTGTTGATAAGATTCTTCCGCGAGTGGGATACACATTCTGACATACATCAGCACCACACCGATGGAACGCTTTTGCCGCCCCAAAATCTTGCCAAGCATAGATTCCGTTCACTCGGTCGGGGCTCGGGGCACTTTTCTCACCAAGGACAGAGGAACCCATTAATGGCGTCTCATCCTATCCCTCTTCGGCGCCTCTAGCCTCACATCAACCGTGTAAAAGATCGAACACAAGTTCCTTTCCCTGAGCCCTAGGTTCTCCTCTGTTTTTGCCAAGTGAGTTCTTCAACTTATAATTATGAATTTGGGCCCCTTAACTGTAAATATACTTTCTTTGGTCGATGCGCAATACCTAATTGTAAGCTAAGAATCCTCGGCGTGGCTTTTACTATTGGATATGATTTGCGAAGTATAGAAGAGTTGTGAATTGTCAAGTTCTACTTTTTAATTTACGAATTTTGTTTAGAATCCAGTTTTGTTACTTCGATTGATTCCAACATCGTTTAACATTATAGTTATCCGCTATTGAGGCTGTGGGCACAGTCGTCTAATGCATGTACACTCGAACACTTACATGAGGCGAGGAATACTTGGTGGGAGGGAACTCCTGCACGTTGATAGAAGAACATGGGAAATTCAACATTCTACTCATTTTCTAAATGCCTACAATCTCACTGCACTTAAAGCATTTCATTCACTTGAGAAGAGACATCAGAAAGGTATACATGACCCTTACAAATATTTTGTCTGATACTCGGCATAAACACTTAAACACAAACTTAAAACCTAGCAAAATCCAAATGTTTGTTTCAGGATTACAATATGCAAACATGTCTTCTCAAACTGTGCTAACAAGAAACAGTAGTAGTGTAGCCAGTGAAAGCATGCAAGAGTTGCATTCACCATTTACATACGAAGCTGCCATGGAAGCGCTTTCATCTCTGATCACTGGAAAAAGACGTGATGGAAATGCAAATACAGATGCTAAATACAAGAAGCTTGAGAGGATGTCAATGTATGTCCAGGTAACTTGATAATATGGAAATGTGTCATGAGAAATGCACATCATAGATATCTACCTAAATATTATTATGATTTTGTATTTCAGATATTAGGCATAGAGAAACAAATTGCTGACCTTAACATTATCCATGTTGCTGGAACCAAAGGAAAGGTACATCTACATCCATTTGTTTATATCTTTCTGAATTGTTATCAAGTCATATCTTCAATACTCAGAGATTTCCATTTATTTTCTCTTGGTGCTTGTTTCTTGTTTTCTTCCATCAAGTGCTGAATGTATAAATGATGATAAATCTGAGTAAATGACCATTTTACCCTTTCTCTCTTGAAGTGATGGTGAATAACAAGTGACTATAACTTTTATAATGACAAATTTTAATATTTCTTTGGACACTCTTTTTTCGTTTCTTCTGATAAAGTTCATAATAATACATCAGGGTTCAACATGCACATTTTGTGAAGCAATCTTAAGGGAGAGTGGTTTTAAAACTGGCTTGTTTACTTCTCCACATTTAATTGATGTGAAAGAAAGGTTCCGTCTTAATGGGTATGTGTCTAGTTGTGTTACATTGTTTCATTCTTTTTACATCATATAGAATTATCCTGTATATCTGTTTTTAACATTTTTGTTCCAAATCTAAATGCTGAATGTGTAGGTTGGAAATATCGGAAGGGCAATTTTTACTATATTTTTGGGGTTGCTGGCATCAGTTGAAGGTATTACATCATTACTAAAAATAGTCTTATGAACTTTAATAGCTGGTTCTGATATGTATATATTTTTTCCTGGATATGTAATTTGGCAGGATAAAGTCACAGAAGACCTGCCAATGCCTCCACTCTTTCAGTTCCTTACTCTATTGGGATTAAAGATATTTGTATCCGAAAAGGTATAAAATTTTAAATCTCTAGTTTCATTTAGGTTTTTAAGTGTGCATAGCATACAATATGTTTTAATGATCCATTCCCAACCAAACATGACAATGGAATGTAATGACTCATTCCATTACCTTGCTTATTCCATTACTCTGTTCATTGCAGGTCGATGTTGCTATTATTGAAGTTGGTCTTGGAGGGAAAAACGATTCAACGAATGTGGTAATACACCTTTCTTTTACTTTTTTCTTCATCTCATTGTTTATCATTTTTTTTTTGGTAGAAAACGTTTTTAAAAAAGCCCTTTCTTTTTTTTTTTTACCTGAAATCTGGTCACCATTGCAGATTCAAGATCCTACTGTGTGTGGCATTACTTCTCTTGGTTTTGATCACATGGAAATTCTCGGTGAGTTCTCTTCACACAATGTAACTAACTTTTTTACCAAATAATCAAAACGTTCATAAGTAAATTGTCAAAATACACATCTTTTCAACTCTTGACAAGTCTGATATAGTGGTTAGTGCTTTAACTGTAGGAGATACTCTTGAAAAGATTGCTTCACATAAAGCTGGGATATTTAAGGTACAAAGAAGTAGGTACATTTAAACTACTCTACATGCGTGTCTCTGATAGTTTTCCATTGTTAAAGTCTTTTTTTTTTTTTTTTAAATGTGTTTTGTAAAGCCTCAAGTTCCTGCATTCACTGTACCTCAACTTCCTGAAGCAATGGATGTTCTTAACCAGAGGGCACATGAAGTGGAGGTACCCTTAGACCCTCTTTTTTTTGTTTTTCTCTGTATGGATAAAGTTGGAAACAATAAGAAACTAAATAGCTTCCTTTCCAATAATGAATGTTAGGCTCCATTGCAAATAGTTGCACCACTTACATACGAAAGGTTGAAAGGGGTGAAGCTAAGTCTATCTGGTGATCACCAGCTTGCAAATGCTGGGCTTGCTGTTTCTCTTTGTAAAAGTTGGCTTAATACTAGAGGAAACTGGGAAAAATTGTTCCCAAATGTGAGTTATAACAGTTTACCTGAGGCGTTTTTGAGGGGTCTTTCAAGTGCATATCTTCCAGGAAGGGCTCAAATAGTTCATGACTCGTGTTTGGGGATAAATGATCAAATGGGATCTGATAAAAGTTGTTGTGGGGAGTTGATTTTTTACTTGGATGGAGCTCATAGTCCTGAGAGCATGGATGCTTGTGCTAAATGGTTTTCTAATGTTGTCAAGGAAAAGATTCATAGACCAGTGTCATCTTCCTTTTCTAAAGGTGAAAACATGGAAGATATTTCTATTCAACATTCAAAGGAACAGGAAGAATCTAAAACAATATCCAAAAGGGTAAATTAAATCACATTACAAATCATGATTGCATATTTTGTTATATTAGTTAAAACACAGCTGCTTATGTAATGCACATGTTTGTTTATCAGATTCTGTTGTTTAATTGCATGGATATGAGAGATCCAGAAGTGATTCTTCCAAGACTTGTGGATATATGTGCTTCATCAGGTATTTCATATTATATATATCTTTTTTTTTTTTACTATTGCTGAATATCAGTTTTAAAAAAAAAAAAAATTTTCATTAACATGAGCAGGTTCTGATTTCTCAAAAGCAATTTTTGTCCCAAGTATCTCAACATACAGCAAGGTTACTTCTGGTGCTTCAGACATCCCTTTGAGCATCCCCTCAAAGGATCTGACATGGCAGTTCAACCTCCAAAGAGTTTGGGAAAGAATTATTCATGGAAAAGGTTTTTTACTTTTTTTTTTTTTTTATTAAGCAAACAAAATCCCAAATTCTAGAGACTAGCGGACCCCACTAATCTTTAAGGCCCTGTTTGTTGCACATGACCGTTGACATGACATAACAGATTGGCTGAGACTAATATCAATGAAACAAAAATTGCCCAAAACTCTCTCTCTCTCTCTCTCTCTCGTGTGTGTGTGTAAATGACGAGAGTGCCCTTTCTCATCTTTATCATCGGTCGGGAATAGGCTACAAAGATTTTAACATACTTGATGCATTGCAATTTGCAGAGATTGGGGTGAACAAAAGTGTGAAACTGAAGATGGAAGCTGTTGAAAATTCACCACCTCCTGAATTCCTGTATGATGATATATCTCACTGCAATCCTGCAAATGGAAACTTTAGTTGCAGTGCAGTTTTTCCATCACTACCCTTGGCAGTTTCATGGTTAAGAAAATCTGCTAGAGAAAACCCTTCACTTAGGCTTCAGGTAATATTCCAAACAAATGAAATTTTACCAAATAACCCCTAATTAACAAAAGGCTGTTTGTGGAGTGACTAAAGATGGAAAAATTAATTATTAACAGGTTCTTGTAACTGGATCGTTACATCTTGTTGGTGATGTCTTGAAGCTACTGAGGAGGTAGTTATTATGTCTTCTTTGAAAATTCTTATACAAAAAATGCTATCATCATTTAAATGTTCAATTGTAAACACAACGATTTTACTATTTTTGACTTATACAAGTTGAAGGAAATTCATGGCAACACTTCTAGACTTTAGTTGATGATGAATAATTTATAATGTCTTGTATAACTATATTGTATCACATTTTTAGCATGTACTTGTTCATTTTCTCAAGTGTATTGGTTTTTAACCTTTTTTTTTTTTGGATTTTATATTTACCCCCAACTTTAATAAAACTGTAAGTTGGGATAATAGCATCTTCAATCTATGCACCAAATGTTACACTCAACTTGATGTAAACACCAAATTTGATTTTGTTCAATGGTAATGAGTGAGTTATATGAGTATTGTTTTGATTAAATTTGAAAGAAAATGTTACACTCGAACTATTATTTCACATGACTCTTTAATGTTTAATATAAAAAATCAAAAATAATTTTTACAAAGCATATCACTAAATAAATCCAAATCATTAAAACGAGTCAAACAGTGAACTTTAATCTAAGAAAAATCACAAAAAATAACAAAAATGGTTAAATGGGTGGTCGACTTGACAAAACGAAAACGGCCACCTTTTTGGTAATTTATAATGACAACTCATTTCATTATATTTTTAGCACAAATATCTTTGAATATAGAAAAACAACACAGAAAAAATCTATATTATTATTATGCAACATGTGAAGGTATTTCATAATCTATTAATGTATTTTGTAATATATAAACCGTTAATAAACGTGTATTTTAAAATATATCAGCTGATTTAAACTTTTTTTTTGAAGTTTTTTTTTTTTTTTTTTTTTTTTTTTAAAATTTTTTTGGTAGACACCATTCTAAAGAATTATTTCGCAATTACATTGATTAATGCGAACTATAAATAAATTTATATGATCATTGTAAAATGATCTCATCCATTTTTGATATTTTATGATTCTGCTTTGAATCGTTTTTATTATTCATGTTATCATATTTTAGTTCTGTAAATGGCACAATAATCTCTAAAACTAGAACAGTTTTAAGAAATAATAAAAAAATAATTATAAATTATTAAATCCATTAAATAATGAAAGTATTTTTTTAGGTATTATGTGATTGTCTTTTTAGTTTGTGTTTTTGTGATCTATGTGTAATAGGAAACAAAATGCCGTAACCAATAAAAGTCAGAAGTGATGGACGTTTTCTTTTAGCTTTGAGTAAAAACAAGTGTTGTTTTTTTCTTAGTTAGACTTAGAACATGATAGGTTAGATCCAACATGTCATGTTCTTACACCTGGCGTCCTTCACTCCGTAGTGATTCAACCATACATGTGATTGATTTAGCGGTGTATTTGATTTTGAAACGTGGTATGCACAGTCTAATAATTAAGTAATAACAACAATATCACAACACCGCACGGATTTTAATTAATACTCCAACATAATTATCAAAGCCAAATTTAGAATTCTCCATACCCTCGAATTTTCATATACTTATATAAGTGGTTAGGAAATCATTATTATCAATGTTAGAAAATACATCCTTTTCTTTATAGGTAAGTAAACAGTTGTTGTCATCATTGTGCAATTACTATCCATTCGTTACACCATCGGTGGGTTGAGTATTTGTGATCGTTAATTTAGTCACTAATCTGATGCTGCAATTGTGTTGATAATCCTTATTTTCCTTTTTTGTTTATTGCTTGTGACAACATATCTGTCTTGTAACACCAACTTTTTGAGCCTTTGATTTATTTGATTTATGCATGTTTTGATATATATATATATATATATATATATATATATATATATATATATATATATATATATATATATATATATATATATATATATATATATATATATATATATATATATATATATACTAGTCGTTTGCCCGCGCAAAGCGGCGGCGACAATTAGTTTCTTTCGGGCAATTAGTTTCATTCAAAACATGTTATATTTCTAGGAACACTCATATTGTTATTATCGGTTGGTTACATGAAAATAGAAAGTTGAATGCTAAAACCTGTTAGTTTTTTAGAAAAAAAAAATGAAAATGCGATGTTGTTTAAAAAAATAAAAACAGTGTGCAGGGCAATATGGTCCTAAAACTGTAAAATTTGAATTTTTTTAAATATAAAAACAGTTTGCAAGGGCAATATGGTCCTAAAATTATAAAAAATGATTTTTTTTAAAATATATGTAATGCCCGCAAATCCGGGCTAGTCAAATTAGAGACAATAGGAGTCGAAAATGACTTTTCGACAAAATATTATTTAGAATAAATAATCTTAAACAAGTTGTAGAATATGTCACAAGATTTCCGTACATATAAAGAACGCCGAAATCCGAGTTATAACGAAGAAGTTATAACCCGTCGAAGTTTCGCGACGGAACCGGCACGGCACCGGGAAGCGTAAATAGTGAATTTACGATGGAGGACTTTTTAGCCTTAGTGATCTAAATAAAATTCGTAGAATATGTTAAACTAAGAGCGTCGATAAAAAGAACGCCCAAATCTGACTTCGTATGAGGAAGTTATGATTTTTCTAAGATTCGGCCTAGTAGTGTACAGCCCGAAAATCGAATTTTAGTTCGAGCGGTTTTTGGCTTACGTGACCTAAATGAGAGTTGAATATCTCATTAATAGGAACTCAACGGTAAAAAGACAGACAAAAACGGAGTCCGTATGAAGGAGTTATGAATTCTTCGCGGTCATTTAACAGTCTAAATGCCTCCTACTGTTAAATTTGAGATCGGTCGAGAATTAGCCGACGGAGTCTAAACGAAAGTTGTAGATCTTGATTTTACCTACGCGTGGATATAAAGAACGTAGAAAACGGAGTTCGTATGCGAAAGTTATGAATTTTTGAAAATCAACTGATTTTCACCCGGTGTGCGATGCCACGTGTCAGCACCAGGCTGCGCCTGGCTGTAGCCAGCCTGGCTCACGACGTGAATATTAAAAATTCACGACGTGAACCTTCCTCCAGCCCCTATAAATAAGTGGTGAGGCCTCCATTCATTCCTCACACCTCCCATAACTTCACACTCTCTCTAAAACTTCTCTCTAGCCCCGAAACCCCCTGAAAAGCCTAGGGAACCTCCCTAGCACGAGGCGGAAGCCCCGGAGCGCCCGACGGCTCCGAGAAAAGAGACTTTCGGCTCGGGAAACGCTGCTCCAGCGAAGCCCGGTTTTGCGAAAAACCCGCTGTAAGTGAGCTATGCCCACGCTATCTTTAATATAGCTTATGTTTTAATATAGTAACATTATTAGGAACTTATAATGAGTATTTGGGCTATTATTATGAGTTATATTGAGCATTATTAATGCTTAATAATAGTCAAACTGATTAATGAGTCGCGGTTATCGTTAAACTAAACCCTAGTTGTATCGGTACTAGGTTTTATCGAAGGAACATCGTTTTGAGAGTATCGAAGCGCTGTCCGAGTGCTGAGTCACCACCTAATCAGGTGAGTGCATGGTCCCTTTCATCTTACACATAGATATGAAGTATTTTATATAAACTACGTGCTATGTGTGCATATTACCTGAATACTTGCTGTCTATGCTGGATGAACGTTTTATACATGTTTTAAAGGATTTAAACTGTATACGTATTTTATATATACGAATATGTTGGGTATGATGATGGGTAGATGAATGATGAGAGATAGAAGATGACGTGAGTATACATTGGCAGCTATAGACTTAGTGCCTGTGGGACAAACACCGGTAGCTATGGACTTAGGACATGTTAGACGTTGGTAGCTATGGATTTAGTACCTGTTGGTAGCTATGGACTTAGTACCTATTAGTTAGACACTGGTAGCTATGGACTTAGTACCTGTAGGAATCGGTAGCTATGGACTTAGTACCTGTTGAACACCGGTAGCTATGGATTTAGTACCCGATGAGTAGGATATAGCAGCTATGGAATTAGTACTTTACGAACGAACATTGGCAGCTATGGATTTAGTGCCAGTCCTAGAACCCTGGAAGTAAGGGACATCGACATAAACGAATGAATAATAGATGACTCTTAGGTTAAATCCTTAAGAGTAAAGAAGATAACGGGAATGGGTAATGGGGTTAATTGTTTGATGATTAAACATAACAATTATATTATTGTGGGTTGAAAACCCTATGTACTCACCAGGTTTCCCAACCTGACCCACTCAGTTTATGTATATCACAGGTGACGAAGTGAAGTGACTTTACACTAAGAGATTTAAAGAGCTATAGGTCACTAGTGTAAATCATTGTAAGTTCTGTTTATGCTTATGTTTCGGTATTAACGATGACATCCCAAACGTTTTAAGATGAATAAAAATACGTTTCTTCGAAAATGTTTTAATAACGTATTTATCATGTTTTTCTGGGAACCAATTCCGCAACCTTTTTATAAAATGAAGTACTCTGATTTTCATAAAGCATAAACAAAATCGGTTTTTTCTGGCCATGATTTTGGGGATGTCACAATATAAATACAGTGTGCAGGGACAACATGGTAAAAAAAAATGAAAATCCGTAATGTTTTGATGTAAAAACAGTTTGTAATATTCAATATTGTCCAAAACTGTAAAAATTAAATGTTATTAATATAAAAACACCGAGCAGGGTGGCGATTTACATTTCTCTACGAATTCAAGCAATATCCAATCAGCAACAGATTTACTTAATGACTTCAAACTCAAAACCAATTGTAGGTGAGTGTGCACTGCCAGGTCGAGTTCGTTGGTTAAGAGAGCGGGGATAATCAACTTCCTTGAGTGGCTTACCGTGTTTTAGTGCAGATTGTAGTATCAGTCAAAACCAGGAATTGACGTGCGTAATAGAAGAAGGTAAACAAACCTGAGAGATTGAAAGTAAAACAGAAAATTGACGTAAATTGAAATCAAATTAGGTGTAACGATCCAATTTTCGCGTCCAAAAATTTCGTTTTTAAAACATTACTTTAGGAAAACGTTAATAAATAAAAACATTGTTTGATCAAACTACGTCACAACATAAACCATGTTCAAAAGTCAAGTCATACAACCAATCGAAACATCAGAGTATAAATCCCAGAGAAATCTAATAAATGCGGAAACCCGTGTGTGTGCATGATGTGCCGCTACCGATCCAGCTCCTTCCCCTTCGATGAAGAGGTACCTGAAACCAAAATTGTAAACTGTAAGCACAAAGCTTAGTGAGTTCCCCCATTGTACCACAAACCATAAAATCACATAACATACATA